AAAGGTGAATCCAGAAGATATTTGAAAGGAAGATAAGCCAAGGTATGGCGTGTATTTTGGATGGAAGTGGTAAGAGGCAGTGTGACCACAGACATTGGCGAATGGTCACATGTGTTGATGTGAGTTTGTGGACACGCTCTTAGAATGCTTCAATGTCTTTTGGGTGGAGTAGTAAGTATTTATTAGGCACTTTGCATGTGTTATGATGTGAAATAATCCTCCCAGCAGTAATATGAAGAAGATATTATAGTTCCCATTTTATATGCAGAAACTGAAATTCAGAGGGTTAAGGGACTTACTCAGGTTCACATGGCTTATTCAACAGACTCTTCTCCAATTCAGTTTTGAACTCATTCCAGCCTGTGTACTGGCCTCCCCTTCTACCAAACTCCTTTCACTCTGCATACTCATGATTTCCATTTCATCAAAAGGTATCTTTCTGGTTCTTTTCTTACTTTCATAAATTTTCACATTACTTGATTGATCCCTCCTCCTTTACATTCTCAATCAATTGACTGCTATATCGGTTTCTTCTCTATTCCCTTGCACTTCTAATTTTCTGTGCATGCTCCTCTATCATTCTGCCTTTTGAAGATCCTTGGAACTCTGTCTCAGGTCTTCTTATTTTATTGTGATACACTCTGTCCTGGGTGAACCATACAATGGCTTTTATTGCCATAGACCAGCTAGTTTTAATTAGTGGCTAAAATGCCAAAATTTATCATTCTAGTTAAGACCTTGCTTCTGGGTCTCAGGCTTGTACTTGCCCATGTAAAATCACCTCTTGCCTTCCTTACAGCCACTTTGACCTGAATATTTCCAAACTCTAACTCTTCATCTTACCCTTAAATCTTTTTTGTGTTTGTTCTTTATCTCAGCAATATATGACCATTGACCCATTTGCTTAAGCCGATACCTGAACAGTATTGTTGGATTTTCCCTTCCCTAACTCCTAAAATCTGAATAATCAATAGGTTCTATGGTGTCTACTTCCCAAGCCTTGTGAATGGATTACATTTCCTGAAATTTGCCCAAGGTCCAGGCTTGTCTTGTTTGTTGCTTTATGCTTGGGCGTAACCTACAGTCTGATACCAAATAAATTAGTGGAATCAAAGAATGAATAAGTTAATGTATGGAGGCAAAAAAGAATGAATAAACAAATCAAACAGGAATTGGAGCTTTGCTTTCTGATTTTTGAAATATCTGTCCTTTTTAAGTTAAACATCCATTTTTATGATAAGCTGTTGGACCTGGCACTTTGACTCACCATTCCAGGGTCCTTTCTACCTGTCATGACATATCATACCTGGGGAAAGAAAATCATGGTATCAGGAGCACCTTACCAACTAGCAAGTGAGTGCAAAACCCTCTTTACCAATGACAAAGCCAAGACTCGGAAAAGACATCTCTTCTTCAAGGCTGTTTAGTTGATTATTGGATAGAGTTGACTAAAAGTTAATCTTATTTTTGGTGTGATAATGTCTCCTCTATTTCATGACACTTATTTATCTTCAAAAAAAATTTAAATATTATATTGTCAAGCAACATCTAAGTTAAATTAAATATAATTTCCATTTATACAATGTCTTCTCTTGCTATCATTAACCTATGTAACTTTGGTAGTGTTCAAATGCTAATTATTTTCAATGTGTTTGCAGTTTTCTAGTGAATAAATGGATATTTTTATTTAACTACTTCAGCAACAGAATGGATTTTCCTAAACCTCAAAATAACTTCTTGATAAGCAAGAAAGGAGACTGGGATATGCCTGTTTGCCTAATAAAGTTGAAAAGATTGACTTGTTAGCTTGAACAGTTACTGGACTTTTTGTTATGGCCATGTTTAAGAGCTCATAAAAGTAGTTTTGGTTTGCTTAAAATTCTAATGCAGAGTCAAAGACACCTCAAGAACTTTGGAGATATTTGGGTATCACTTTATGATCTGCCCTAAGTTTGTAGTTCTTAATCCATTAAAAGACAGAGCTACTTGTAAATCCACAGGTATAGATAAGAAGTCACTGTTTGACTGAGCCTGAACCCTTTTCAAATGAAAAATGTCAGTGGCAGAAAGAGAGAATGAATTACTTTTTAAAAAGGTTTTCAAAGATCCTCAGATTTCTCTGGTATCACTTAAATGTGACATGACTGTTTTTTTTTTTTTTAAGTGTGTAAAAACAAGCAAATTATTTGGGCATCATTTTTATGTAGAAAAGAACATTCTTAACCAGTGTTTAGCTGAGGGATTGAAATGTATTTTATCTTTAAATAGTAAGTTATAAAGAAATTGCTTAAAATTTAAATATCATTGGAAAATTCAAAGAACTATCAGAAATTAAACCGTCTCTTTTCAAGTAGAATAAAATCTTAAAGATGTAAATCACTATATTATCACATTTGAATATGAAGGCACACATTGTGGGACATTTCCCACTGAGTCCTTTTTGACATCATATTGGATTATTAGCTAGGCTCTGCCTCTGAAAATTTGGGGTATAAGCGCTCTGCTTCCAATGTACTAATCAAAAAGATTGTACAAGGATGCAAAACATTTTCAGGGGAAAAATCTCAGAAATGGGTTTGTTATTCCACAAAGAGAAAACAAATTATTGTTCCATATTCCCTGGACTCTGGACTTGATACTTAAGCATATATTATTTATTGTAAATATCTTATTTATAAAGCTATATTTCAGAAGCTCAACTCATTGAATCTTTTTGGGGTCCATTTTCCTCATTACTGATCATCTTTAGCTCCTGATACATCAGAGTTAAAAACAAACTGGAGGGGAGAGGTGCTGTCTCAGTTCAATGAGTTTAATGAGGTCTTCCATTTTTCGTGTATTTGGCAAGTGGGAGAGGAAGGGAGCATGAGAAGTAGGGAGAATGGTGTAGTTCTTGAAGTGACATTTTTTACCGTGAACATGGAATTGTTATTTCCATTGCATTTTCATTGTCCTGATAGAGATAAATTTCTATTTCATAATGGACACAATGTCAACAGTACTCAAAATTTTAGCTGGTTGTGGTTTACATAACTTTGACTTTGGTTTTCAGGATTCAAGCAATAATAGAAACATGAAAAGTAATGTCTGGTATTTTAACTATTAAACAGAGGTGACACAAATGCCAAGAAGTAAAGGAAAGATCTAACTGAACTCAGGTTGATGGTATTGCTTTTAAAAACATCAAGATTAAATCTACATATTTATTTATTTATTGATTGATTGATTGATTGATTTTTAAATTTTAACGTTTATTTATTTTTGAGACAGAGAGAGACAGAGCATGAATGGGGGAGGGTCAGAGAGAGGGAGACACAGAATCTGAAACAGGCTCCAGGCTCTGAGCTGTCAGCACAGAGCCCGACGCGGGGCTCGAATGCACGGACTGCGCGATCATGACCTGAGCTGAAGTTGGACGTTTAACCGACTGAGCCACCCAGGCGTCCCTAAATCTACATATTTAAAGACAGTTACTGACTTGAACAGAAATTAAGGCCAGAGTAAGACAAAACATTTATGCTAAATTACCTACCATAACTTATGTATCGCTTAGAAAATGTAATTACTGAATACATTCTATTTTATTTAGAACTTTTCTCAGCTATCTGTGGTATATGGGTTTCCATTTATACTTCTTATTCATCCATTTATTCCCGCTTTAATGTCTGTTCTTCAGCAGGTTGAGAAGAAATACCAATAAAAAGAACTAATACATTGTATTATTAGGATTAATATTTTAAAATACAAAGCTTTTGCTATGATAATATGGTATAGTGATACTATCAGAACATAAATATCATAGATTTAATTATTTAAAGAGAAAGATTCCAATTCTCCAATTCATGATTGAGATTTTGTTTGATTATCCCAAAGACTTTTTAGGCTGATGGCCATTCTTTGAAGATTTGAAGCCTTCAGTTAGTTATTATTTTTTTTAATTAATTCACTTATTTCTTTATTTTATTTCTTAATTTTTTTAATGTTTATTTATGTTTGAGAGTGAGTGAGACAGAGCATGAGCAGGGGAGGGACAGAGAGAGGGAGACACGTAATCCGAGGCAGGCTCCAAGCTCCAAGCTGTCAGCACAGAGCCCAACGCAGGGCTCAAACTCGTCAACCAGAAGATGGTGACTTGAGCTGAAGTCAGACACTTAACCAACTGACACACCCAGGCGCCTCTTATTCATTTATTATTTAAGTGAGCATTTGATGAATTCCTACTTTATGCTAACGTGTTTACTATCTTCACTTCCTGTTTCCTTTTAATGATCCAATGTAATAATTTGGAGGGAATGAAAGGAGGGAGACCACCCTAAACTGGCTGTTTCATAAGGTTTTTTTTTTTTTTTTTTCAAACTCTTCTGGTGACAGAATCTACATCAAATACCAAATATAAAAGAAAAATGAATTTGATTAAACATTTTTTTAATTTGGGAAAACATACATCTCTACTTTTTGTACGTGTAAATATTTTAGCCCCTGAAATTAGTAGTACTTTGAAAAAACTATCACATACTTCCAGAGACTCTCCAGATGTTGCTCACCACGAGTCTTGAATAACTATAATAAAAGTATTGTGTAAGGTGTATATCTTTATAATTTTTAGTTACATTCGTGAGCAAATATAAGAATGTTAACTCTAAGCCATTGTCCTAATGTTTCTTGTCTATCCGTTTTGGCATCACAGCACTGCTTTTGGAAAAGTGTTATTATTTCAGGTTCTTAAGGACTTACTAAATAGAATTCACTTCTGTAGATGATGTGTGTGAAAAAGGTGCAAGAAAGAAATTGGACTAAATCTGAATACAATTATAAGGACAAGTTTTATTTTCCTCTCAGGATAACGAGATCAGTTGGTTTTCAGACAAGCATAATTAATTGCCTTTATATGAATCCCGAGAATGTTGTGTGTGTAAAGCAAACACCCAAAAAAGAGTAAAACGTGTGGGTAAAACACACGTGAAGGTACTCTAAACACCTCTTGTTTTTATTGTCTGCAGGAGAGCTGGAGGTATTTCAGAAAGACGGGGAACGAAAAATCCAGAGTCGGCAGCAACTTCCTGTGGGAACAACCTGGGGGCCATTTGCTGGGAAGATGGACCTGAATAATAATTCCTTGGTATGTGGATGTTCTGAGATGGTTGACTCAGTATTTTGTCATAGCTCAGAAATTATCTCTGCTTGCTTCCCAGGGAAATCGCTAAAAATAACAGTTTGTTTTTTCTTTTTCATGGCCCACAAAACTTGGAGACTTTCCAAGTGGTTTGTCTCTGACAGTAATATACACAGAATTTAGAAGGAAACAGGTTAATCATACCAAATGGTTGTTTAGTAAGGTAATTTATAAGGTTGTTGCTTTATCTGCTTAGCCAGACTAATACTACTCACACTTAATAATATATACAAATGCTTTTATTTTTAAGATGACACAAATTAATTGTCATACATTACAGGTTTACATGAAGAACAAGAAATGAACAACCTTGTTATTCCTCGGTAATACTATTTGTACCTTTTAGAGCAACGATGAATGATTAGCGCCATAATTTCTGTTAGCATTTTTGTAAAATCTCTGTAAAATCTACCTCTAGGTAAGATTATACGGGTAGTCGATTAACTCCTGTGTTAAAAAGTAGTGGAGGGGCGCCTGGGTGGCGCAGTCGGTTAAGCGTCCGACTTCAGCCAGGTCACGATCTCGCGGTCCGTGAGTTCGAGCCCCGCGTCGGGCTCTGGGCTGATGGCTCAGAGCCTGGAGCCTGTTTCCGATTCTGTGTCTCCCTCTCTCTCTGCCCCTCCCCCGTTCATGCTCTGTCTCTCTCTGTCCCAAAAATAAATAAACGTTGAAAAAAAAAAAAATTAAAAAAAAAATAAAAAAAAATAAAAAAAAAAAAAAAAAAAAAAAAAAAAAAAAAAAAAAAAAAAAAAAAAAGTAGTGGAAAGATGGAATACGTGGTCCATTTAAACTTCATTTCTTAATTGGATATTTTAGTTTTCCCGTTGCTGCTGTAGCAAATTACCCACCACAAACTTTGTGGCTTGGAAACAGCTCAAGTACATCACCTTGCAGTTGTGCCGGTCTGAGGTCTGATGGGCTAAAACTAAGCATCTGCAGCACTGAGTCCGTCTCTGGAGTCTCCTAGGGGTGACTCTGTTTCCTTCACTTTTCCAGCTTCTCAAGACCATCCACAGCTCTTGGCTCAAGGCCCCCTGCCGTCTACAAAGCCAACGGTGGCTGATTGAGTCTTCCTCACATCCACATTTAAGAACACCTGTGATTATAGTGGGCCCATCTGGGTAAATCTAGGATAATCATCCTCTTTTAAGGGCAGCTGATGAGCGACTTTAATTCCATCGGCTTCCTTAATTCCCTTTTGCCATACGATGTAACATTCACAGGTTCCAGGGTACAGACATTGGGACCTCTCCTATTTAAGTGATGATACAAGTGATAAAACTTGGGGAAACAAATGTTTTATATTATTTAGGAGTTCCACAAGTTATATATACGAATGACATTCTTCCTAAAAGCCACTTATATGAGAAGAGTCTCACGGCTGCCAAATGACTCTGTCTACCCTGTGGGGCCATAAAAACTCCCAGAGGGGTTTTGACAAATGTACTGAACTCAGCAACACTGCAGCCCTTCTTCAATTTGTTACATGAAAGAAATTTCTCCTTCAAGTTACTACATGAAAGAAACTGGTATGTGTGGATCTCCGCTTATTCAGTGCCTATTGGATGACACAGAGGTTATTGGTTCAGCCAAAAGTAATGATTGGAATAAATAGGAAATATTTGTGTCACCAAACGTTTAAACAACATGGGAGATTCTAGGGTGTGATTTTTACTTCCTAAATCCACATATTTATCCATAAAAGGATGAAGTCGGTGATTTCACATGTATTTAAGAACTGAACAAGTTGATAGGTTAAGCTAAATACTTGATCATGTGGGCAACTTAATTCCTAGTGGTCCAGTTTACCCACTTCAAAAAGGCTTTGCGATGTGGCCCCACAAACACCGCAGGTGTTGGTTGGTTGAGTTGTTAATAGACTGGTCTATTGATTCCATTGAGAGAACAATATTTACCATACTGATTTCCGAGCAAAGGCAAGACGAAGATTGTCTAACCATCAAGGGTTGAGTTAAATACTACTCTAAACCCATTTTGTCTGGAAGTCTATTGGTTCTCTCGCTTAAAAAATGTTTTTGGCAATAAGATACTTATTTATCACTGCATATCCATCCCCAACACAACCTTTAGTTATTTCTCTGATATTTCTTCAAAAGTGTACTGCCACTGAAGTAGCACCTGTCATTGAAGTAAAAGAGAAATGTTTTCCTTTTACTATATCAAAATAATATCTATATGAAAATTCAGTTTTTGATCTTTATATAATTATCTATTTATATATGTGGGATGGTACAATTATACATTTTTAGCATTTGCTACATTTTGGGTGAAAAATAAACCTATTTGTGAAAGGTTAATTTCAATGAAATAATGACCTATTTTTTGGACAGATGTTTTTTAAATATTCTTGTACCATTATAAGGCTATTTTATGGCATGTTTAATATTTTTAAAGGGTTCAGCTTATAGATATGAAGAACTTTTGATACCATTGATACTATTTGATATTGTTTTAAGACTATGAATACTCTTCAGGGTATCAAAAACCAGTAGTGGGTAGTAGTTTTCTTTATAGAAAATAATCTTAATAGTCTGGTTTTATTTTTTTGCCTTAGGGTTTCAATATTTGATTCATGCTACTTCCTGAAACTATAGTAATTTTCTCTATTTAAAAACTTAGTTGCTTTGCCAAAGTATACCTTAAAAGACTTTCCTTTTGTGATAGCATTCCTTTCCAAAATTTACTTCTAATTTTAAGTCACTAAATACTCCTGGTACCACTTTGGGTACTACTGTTCCCACTGCAGAATAATGAGCTAACATATACCGCATACTCCTTCTTTTCTAGCCACTGCATAGAGAATTTGAAATGGATTCACTCATTTAATCCTCAAAACAAACCTGAATTTGTGTCTGTTTAAAAAATTAGATAAGAAAATAAAGGCGTAGACCTTTTGAGTCCAGCATCTGTATTTAAAACAATTTTTTTTTAATTTTTTTTTTTCAACGTTTATTTATTTTTGGGACAGAGAGAGACAGAGCGTGAACGGGGG